ACAAAATGATAACGAACACGTGCAGAGCCTTTGATCTCTGTGGATGAACCAGGCTGTGCAAGATTCAGAGATTATGAGTCAATTCCATCCTATCAGTGTTGGGCCTCAGTTCCCCATTTACAGCTCTCCAGAAAAAGAAAATGAAACGCCAGATAGAGCAACTAGATAACAAAGCTCCTGAGTGAATCAAGTCCTAATAGCTAATCCCATCTCTGTTGTCCACTGTTGTCTTATCAAGGCCTCTCTGAGAAAGAGAGAACCAGATGCAACCACAGTCTCTGCCAAGTGCTCCTGCTCGCCAGGGCCTCCTTCCTTATCAACCAGCACTGAGAGAAGCCATCCAGAGCAGCTGAACATTGCTAGGTGTGAAGAGACAGTCCTGATAAGGGTTTATTTCAAGGGACACTGGCAGGAGATTTCCCAGCCTAATGGTCTGCCTTGTCTACCTGATTAAAATATCTAAGGGGGATAGTTTTCTTTAACAAAGGACAAAATGACTGAGATAAAATCTGGGTAAAGAAGAGCAACAGTGAGTTAACTTGCTCTGTCTGGTAACTGAGAGGTTTTCTTTTTCTTCTGCCCTCTCCAGATTTTCCTCTAGAGGAGCTGCTTAATTTAAAAATAAGCGTTCATGAGCATTCTTCAGTTACAGCAAAAAAAAACCTTAGCATTCCTATTATTTTAATAGATGAAAAAGAATTGTACAATGATCAAAAAACATATTCTTGAGGGTTATATTTCCAACAACACCTGACTGATGTTCTGCACATACTATGAAGTTATATTTTCTACCATGGGCTTCTATACTCCCAAAGATTTTGTTTGTTTGATTAGTTTATTATTATTATTATTATTATTATTATTATTATTATTATTATTATTATTATTATTATTATTAGTTTATTTTATTATTTTATTATTATTTTATTATCTTTATTATTTAAAGATTAGTTTGTTTTTCTGCCATGACCTGTACCCTATCACAGAACAGAAGCAAAGATGGAGAGGAATGGGTCTCTCAGGAGGAGCCTGGAGGATGCTTTCTTAAAGCATCTAAGAAAGCTGGCTATGAGCTGCTGCAGGAGAGGCAGAAAAGCCTCCTGCTACCAGGTGTGCAAATGCTCTGGCTGTCCTGGTCTCAAATAAGTAGAGTTAGGAGGCATCCCATTTGCTTTGTAACTCCCTAAAAATCTTGCTGTGAGTTAGATGACCTCCTTAGCAACCTGCTTCTCTTTTCAGTGGTGTGTGTTAACAGTATAAGAAAGTGCCGTTTTCTTTTCATTAAATAAGGAAATATAAAAAGGGTTTGGATCTGGCTTTTTTTTTTTTTTTAACTTTTTTTTTTTTTTTTTTCCCCGCCTTTTATTATGTGATAACGCCATCTTGTGGAAGTTGCTAAGAGCAAGAGCTGGAAGCAACACCTGGATCATATCTGTATTTGCAAGCCCTATTGCTCAGCAGAAGCAGGCTTGGGGGAGTGGGAGAGCACGGTGGACCTGCACCCAAACTCGTTGCACTTTGGGATTGTGGCTGTGCAGAAGTTGTAGCCTGGTTTTCTGGGTGTCCTTTGGAATTATGATGTACATCCGGGACTGTATCTTGCAGGATCAACTGTCTTCTCTTTCTATTTCAACCAAAAGGAATCCAGCATGAGTGCTCTATGACCACTCAAAGTGAGGAAGGTAGGGATATCAAAAACATCTCAGTTCGCCTCCTCATCTAAATTAAAATGATAAAGTAGACACACCTGTAAGGCCTTAAAGCTTTGATAACGAGGTCAGGTTGTTAGCCAATGGGATCATGCCCAGACCCTGAAAAGGCCTGGAAATTGGCCTTTTTTTTTCTTAGTGCTATGAGAGAGAGGGTTGTGGTCTCCACAACCAGAAGAAAAAAAAAAAGGAATTTACCTAGAACCCTTTCTAGCTCTTGTCCCATGGGAAAAGAGTAGTATTACTTAGCTTTCTGGACTGATACCAACGTGGCTTTCAAGAGCTTGCTCCTAGAAAAACCTGTGCCTGCTCTTGGGATTTGGAGCTGTGCTGGTCAAGCTGGGGAACCACCACTGCTTTGGGGATCGCAAGGCTCAGGAGCAGGAAGATGTTGCTGGAGCAAGATACAAGAAACTGGTGAGAACTGGCTATGGGATTCAGTCAATCTGGTGGTGTTAAATTTGAACATTTTGATTTGGATGAGGGACTTGGTTAATAGTTGCTTTTTAATAGTTGCTTTCTTCATATAATGCTTATTTTTTATCATAAAGTTGGCTGAATACATAGCTTAAGCTGGTACAGCTGTTCTCAGATCCACTCTGCTCATTGAAAGAAGAGGGTTCTTCAAATAAAAAGGTTGTACTAGAGGAATAGTAGTACTAGAAGAGTAGTACCATAGACTGTCTCCCATCTATGTTGTCACGTACTTAATCTTTTTGTCACTCTGAGGCTCAGCAAGCCAAAACCCTCCAATTTCCTAGGAAATACTTTTCCACTTCTTAGTAATATGTCTGTAGCAGGCTGATGTAACAGACTTTTTTTTTTTTTCTTATTTTTCTCTGAACTACCTATGTGTATTAGCTTGATCTCAACCCTTAAAGCAGATGGTGTATTATGGAATTACACACAACCTGTTTTTGTCTAGATGTAGATCCTTAAAAGGATTTTAACTTCTCACTATCCACTGCTATCAACACATGAAGTACCTATCCTGTAACGTTCTTTGTACAGTGTTTTCTGTAATAAGTTTTGCTTCTGGGCTGTCACTAGATCAGTTCAATTTACAGGGGTCTTTGCTTCTTGCTACAGAGAATTTTAGGTAACAAAAGAAAACTGAGTTTCTTTACTACAAGTGGTGCACCATCTGATGGCTTACCACTCTTCTGTTTTTAGTAACCCTAAATAACCCTGTGATATGTAAACCAATTTCTAACAAACAACGAAGTCATCAGACCTACTGGGTGAAATATTTGTGACAAGGTAACACACCTAAACAAAAGGAAAGCGCATAAATAAACCCTATTGCAAGCATACTTGCATTGTGAATTTGGTGCTTATTTCAGGTGGTGCATGGAGTCACCTGGCTATGTTTACTCTCCTCTGTAGAGTTTCTTGAGATTGTTTGCCAAGGGTGTTGTGGCATGTGAGGAATTAGCATAAGCTTCATTGATTAAGAGGTAAAATATGGGAGTGCTTATCCTGGAGACTAGGTGCAGGGTGTGGTGCTAGCCCAGAAGGGGCAATAAGGGGAAAACAAAAGAGAGGAAAAAGCTGGTTTAAGCTGTACGGTTGCTGTGGTTTAAACTGCATGGGAACATAACAGGAAGGCTCTCAGGAAAGGACTGCTGCAGCAGCCAGAGAGAAGGCTGTGACAGCAAGTGTCCGACTTCACCCCGTATCAGCAGAAACAACACACACACCGCAGAGCAATCAGATTTAAATCAGCACCACACCTAGAGGTAGCACCAGCAGCAGTTCTAGCAGCAAATGAAAACCTAGCAGGGAGTACTAGCTATTAGTTTTCTGCACTGCTGTGCTTTTAGAGATTGCCCAGCAAGCCCATTCCCTGCTGGCAGCTTGCACGTGGCTGCCTTGTTTTGGAGTGTGCTCATCGCTTATGAGGAGCGAAAGCAGAAGTTATGCAGAAAGCTGAGGCACTCAAGGTTGTCCTCCTGTATAATGCTTCAGTGTTAGACCTATGAAATTAATTTTAACAAGCTATTAGGCCCATAAGCCAGAGCATGGAGAGGGCAGTTAAAAAATATATATATAAATGCCTGGAAGATCTAGGTGTGTCTAAGCCCGTGTGGCTGGGTGACATCCTTCCTGCAGCAGGCAAGGATTTGAGGCAACCTCTGAGCTAATTGGGTTTACCTTGAGGGCTAGGGACAGGCTCTGGATGTCCCTTTCTAACAGGGCAAAGAGCAGGTGCAAAGGAATTATAGATGAGTCAGTTTAACTTCATTTCACAGACTGAGGTTGGATGGGATCCCTGGAGGCCGCCTAGTCCCAAACCCTTGTTCAAGCAGGGCCACTGAGAGCAGGTTGCCCAGGATCATGTCCTTTCCTGGAAAGAGGCTAGAAATGAATTAAACTCTTTGCAAATGGCTAGAGAGGGATAAGAAGATGGGGAAACCAAAAAGGGTCTATCAATTTGTATTTATATCCAATTAATCTATTTTGTGTGTGTGTCATTCTAAAGTTGGCTCAAGGAGAGAGCAAAAGCTATTTCCTTTGAACTTAATAGGGTTATGGGCCTGCCCTAAATGATATTCTCATAATCAGACTTATGGCAGCAGTGCACAGTGAGGATGGTTTAAATATTGTTCCCCAAGGATGAGCTGCCTGGGGATGAAGGTGAATGAAGACTTTCAGGTGGGGAATCAGCTGCACCCAAACAGCCCCTCCAAGTGTGCTAGGACAGTGCCTGATCCCACTGCATCCACAAGGTCTGAGCCAGTGGATTCCTGATGACTGGATCCAAAAAGGACTTCTTTAGGTCTTGAAAACCCTTCTGAAATCAGATGGGGAGTCTGGACAGCTGGGATAGCATTTAAGTACCCTAATGCTAGGTCTGGCTGTGACCACAGACCCCTTGGGGTTTCTTATCTTAGCATGTGGGACAGCACCACAAGAGGTCATATATGACTTATCTAGGTTGTGCGACAGGGCAAGACCACGTCTGTAAGATGTATTTGAGCCTGAATGCGGTACTGCAGCTGACAAAAGTCCCACGTGTGGCACAGTCCTACAGTTTCTCTTTTGTTCTGGGATGCCACCAGCTAATGCATTACAGGGTGGAGCTGCTGTGGCTGGCCTGTGGTTCCCTCAACCACCTCATCTGCCCTCTCCCTTCCTGGGGGAGGAGGAAGCCAACAAAATACCCTCGGTGCTGCCAAGCACCGCAGAGCCTCAGCCCGTGCCTTCTGTGTCCCTCCTCGGGCTGGCTCAGAGCCTGGTCCCAGGTAGGGTGGTGCTGCGGTGGGTGCAAGGCAGAGAATTGCCACTTACTGACTGCCAGGACAAAGATGGCAAAGATACCAATCACCTGCCAGAGGCGCAGCCCCCAGATCACCACCTGTCTCCGAAGTGACAGGGTCCGGCTTCTTTTTGGGGGGTTCTGTGGTGGCCTGGGAAAGAGAAGGGGAAAAAAAAGAGAAAAGTGGCTTAAGGTTGGCAAGGGGAAAGATGCCACCGAGAGGAGCTGGTGAGCCCTTGTCCTCTGGGCTTACAGATAATTCAGATATCCTTCAGGGAATGCAGACTTCTCTAGAGGTTGTGTCTAAAGCTTTTGTTGTTTTGAAATGTCTGAAGTGTTGGCAGTTTTTGTGGTTAGGAAATAACAGGCAAAAAGACTTGCTTTGTCAAGTCCCGCTTTTTTCCTAAAAGTTCAGCTCCTTGGGTCAGGAGGAGATCTTTTATAGTCTTGAAAGGCTTTTTTGAGGCTTAGCTGTGAAGAACAACATAAAATTAATAATAACATAAAGTTATTTGAAACAGGGCAGGCTATGGTGAGGAGAGACCTCTAAGTCACCAGATGTGACCCTAGCGCTGGAGCAGAGCCATGGCCAGGCACAAGCAAGGCTGTAGCTCAGGCAGGGACCAAGCACTTGAGCTTAGGGTTAAAGCAGCTCCTACAGGATGGAGCTCAGCCTTTGCTGGGCTGTCCCAAGCAGCTGGACCTCTAGGGGTGGGATGCTGCCTTGCTCCTGAACCCTTGTGTCCACACCTTTCACTCTCTGATTTGTGTTATAACATCACTTGGTGCCTCAGCTTCCCCACTTATAATGGGATTTTTGCCTTGAGATATTTTGAAGGCAAATGCCACATGAATTTGATACAGGAGCAGGTACTAGGGCCCTTTTATAAGCTGAGGAAGGATGCTTTAGTTAAATCCCTGCTATAGGGCCCTAACTGCATTATCAGTGGGGAATGAGAGGTTGATGGACCCATGAAGGGCAGCACAGGCAGAAAATCCTACAGCATATGCTTTAATTGTACAAACAGCAGAGCTGAATAGATGGCTATTTGAGCTGCATTTAAGTGCTGGGGATTCAAGCGCATCATTTTAACCATTTAAAGTTAGCCTCATCAAGCAGAGATGTTAGATTTCATGCAATACAAGCATGAAGTGTTCCAAACAGGGCTGGTCTGGACTAGAGGACTACAGATTGGTAGAGCTCAGATTCCCACAGCTCCGGCAGTATTAGAGATTGATTTGATGGAGGTAGGTGAACATACCACAGGGAGATTAAACAAAACAGGCAGCACCAAAGAGATGAGACTAAAGCTAAGAGCAGGGATCTTCATATTAAATACATTTATAGTATATAAATTATACACATCAGGAGTAAACAATCAGCTGTTTGCATCAAGGAAGTTAGCTCAGCTGTATTTGTTAAGAGTCTTTGTGTTACTTGAACATGTTAAATGTGTAAATGCCATTAAATTGTGCTGTGAGTCCACAAGAAAATCTTTCTTGAATGCCCTTCCCCATTTAGATGGAAACAGGACAAGGACCTGATGGCTTCCATAGAAGCTAGGTGTTGACAAATGATATAGATAAGTCTCATTGCAGACCCAGTCCTGAGTTTTTCTGTGCCTTGGTTCCCCACCTCTGAAATGGGGATAAGGATATTTCATGGGTGTGTTAAGAGGATAAATGTTACATCAGATGGGTTGTCAAGACCAACTCTGGAAGGTCTCAGTGCAGTGGTGATGTATTAGGTTCACACACATCAGCAAGAAGCATTTATTCTCTTATCTGATGGCTCAGAAGATTAGAGGTTCACAAGCCCTCACTGCCAGTGAACTTTGTTATGGTTTTCTGTGTTGCGGCAAGTCAGAGTTAAAACCTGCTAGCGACCTTTCAGAAGCAGGTGTTAGCAAAACACCCTATATTGGCTTATATCTGAATGTAGAATCTGATCTGAGTTGGCAACAGCCTTTTGATATAAGCTGGAAACACTTTGTTTCTGAAAACCAAACAGGAAAAAAAAAAAAAGAAAAAAACCCTCCTAAACACACATCTGACTCCCTGCAGTGCCCTTCCCTTTCCAGCCCAAGAAAGTGCTGTTAAAACACAGCTGTAATGGATACCAGAGAGCTGGGGCTGCTCTCCAATTACTTGCCTATTTATGCAACATAAACCATAATTCAGTCTTTTCCTAATGAAGGATGCTTCCCGTTGAGTCTGGAGTGCTTTGTCTCCCAGAGGATCCTATTCAGAACCCATCCGTGGTGGATAGGGTTGCTGTCTGAGCTTGGCTCTTCCAAGCCACTCAGCACCACATGGCCTTGCCTCGCTGCAGTTTGTGACTGCCAAACTTCTCTTCTAGTGCTGGGCATGGAGCATCCAGCACTCAAAACCCAGAACTGCTACAGCTAAACGAAGGGAGAAAGGATATCTGACTGGGGTGGTGTGGTCCTGTCTGGAACAGTCGAATAGGAATCTGTGACAGTCACCACTGGAAAAAAAAAATAATCCTTTTTCAACCATAGGGATTCTGTATGCTGCTTACAAAGCATTCAGTAACACTGAAAATAAATCGAAGGAGCCACAGTAAACAGCAATCCTGGGAGAGCAATCAGGGCAACAATTTAGGTTCAGAATATTTTGTCTAATTGGAAGTTAGACCAACAATGACCTAATAAATTTAGATTGCTGACCCCAGCGATCTGAGTTTATTTCCTGCTGTCTCTGGCTTTCCTTGCTACTGATCCTGGGGTTAACCTCTAGGGTAGCCTCAATCTGAATCTCAAATCATAGATTTTTTCTCTTTTTCCTGTGCACTACTCAGTGTGACTTTGCCCTCTGAGGGAACAAGAACCCATGCTCAGCACCACAGATTGGAAGTGGTGGCACCAGTTTTCTGCAGTGCACACAGGCTTTGAGTCCTAATTACTGCCTTCTGTGCTCATCTCCAGTAAGAGCATCAAGAATAGGATGTGTTCGCCTCCCTGTGTGACTTCTGCATGGGACAGACTCATGCAGCAGAGTAATTGTAATCGGAATCAGCAAACTGAAGCTAGTCTGCACTGACAGCATTAAGCACGGAGCTGTGGGACCAGAGGTCCTTGCTGCTTTTGCCTGCCAAGCCTTGCAGTATTGGTCTTTTTGCTCTGGGGACCTCAAAGCACTTAATGCATCACTGTTTACAGAGCCAAAGCAATATTTCCAATTCAAAGTAAATTAGCTGAGACAGGGGCAATTAAAAGATGTTCTCAAGATCACAGTGTGGATCAGGAGCTCTGAAGCACTTGCCATCAACTTATGGCCATTTCTGGAAGGAGCTGTGGCCATGGAGCAGCATCTTTCAATGACACAATTTGTGTTGGAGGGGAGAAGAAAAAGCAGGGTTGAAGATCTCTGCCACTTTCCTTGCTTTCACAAAAGCTTTTGATGTGAACCAATACATAAAGCAGAAAATATCTTAAATATTTTAAGACAGGAGTGCAAGGGGAAAAGGCAGGAAGCAAGGCTGCTGCTGGGTCCTGGCCATTCATGCAGATGCTTTGGTTTAATCACTGCAGCTCTTCATCTCTTCTTCATGTTCGTAGAGTGAGGGTTGAGAATGCCAAGGCAGAAACATGCAGTGAAGTTACTGTAGCATAGTGGTCAAGCTACCACAGCTTAATTCATCATCAGATAGAAGCTCATCTGTGGCAACTGCCTGTGGCCATGCACAGGGACTTGTAGCTGAGGGCTGAGTGCATCGCTACATATCCTGACCAAGGAAGGGGTCCAAATGTTTCAGTTGATCGTAAGGTGCAATGCTGGCCCACGAGTCATCTCCAAAATCTAAGATAAATGTACAGCAAGGAGAAGAATAACAGATTAATGAAAGCAATTCTTAGTAGCTGCAGGAAATTGGAGCTGTTGGTTTGTGCCTAGCAATACATGTCAAGATTTGGAGGTGCTGATTTGTGCATGGGAATAAACTGTCAGGATTTGGAGTTACTGATTTGTGCTTGGCAATAAATGTCAAGGTAACAGTGATTGGATCAGGGACAAAAGGAAAAGATATAAGGAGGCTGAAACAGCACAGAAATGAAACGGTGGGGCAGGGCAATTCTTACACAGCTCCTAAGGAGAAAAAAATACTGAAAAACCTGAAGCTGGTCCTTGCAGCTCTGTTGAGGGTGAATTTGTGCCAGTGCATTCCAGAACTGGAAGATGTATGGATAGATGAAGAGGTTATACTTGGTATGAAGGATAACAGCATTGCTTTTTCTACACAAGGCAGCTGCAATGAATTAAAGATTCCAGAAGACTGGAGGCAGTAAAGAAAACTCCTGCAAGAGCTGTCAGGCTTTGTCTTTAGGTGCAGGAGGGTGTTAGGAAATGCTCAGGTAATTATTATGATCGGAGAGAGGCTTTGGGGCAAATAGATGAGAAAATATAAAAGAAAATTATGCAAACACCTCACCATGATGTTGGTACCACATAGGAATCTGGGCACTATTTATGGGAATATGAAAAAGCTGAGGCTCCAGAAAGAAAAAGAAATGAGCAGAAACAAGTAAATGAAGGGTTACAAGTAAACTAAGCTCCAAGGATGTTCTGTGCTGAAAGAGTGTATAAAGACATTACAGCAAAAAGAAACTTCCAGCCTGAATTTAAACGTAAAGGAGATGATGGAGACCTTGGTAAATATTCCACGTTACTTTGATGGAAGACCTGCACTATCTGGAGCAGCAGATAAAAACAAAAAAAAAACAAAAAAAAAAAAAACAAAAAACCAAACAAAAAAAAAAACAGGCAGCGTACAGCACAGTGTCTTAAAATAAGATTAGACTGCTGGTGAATCCAACTCCTAGCCAACACCAATTATGAATATTAACCCAAAGCCAGACCATTGGTTTGGGTGTCTCTTGCAGTGTTAGACTGTGTCAGTGTCTGACTGTGTCAGCTGCATATCCCACAACAGCTGGCATCACTTGTTGATGCCAGTAGACATAAATACATGTATATTTGTGTCTTGCAGTTCAGGCTAGATATCTCCCTCTGAAGTAAATGCATCTGCCCTTACTTAGGAGCTTAAAAATGTGCAGTACAATAGTTAGGTCTCAGCTAATTTTTCCAGAGTTTTGGTATAGTTATGAGAAAGCAGCACTCACACAGAGCCAT